TTTCAGATATAATAATTTCAGAGATAATAATTTCAGTACGGAAGCCCTGGAGGGACATTCATACTTCGCACTTCGCACTTCGCACTTCGCACTTCGCACTTCGCACTTCGCACTTCTTATTTCACATATTTAAGGAACACTTAATAAAGTGAAAATTATATATTTCATTATAGGAATATCCTTGATTAAAATAGTTGACAATCAAGTCATCTCTTCCAATTTCTTCTCTTTGATAACCTTGGAGCGAGAAAAAGTGTACCGTGGCAACACTTGTGTCTCTGCGGTGCCAACAACGTATACAACGAAAATGATAGTAAAGAACCACCTGATCACGACCTAAAAAAACAGAAAGAAAGAAAATAAAACAAAAAAGTTTAGTCGTACATATCTAGTAAATGGACCTACCTAGCAAAAATAGACTTACCATATTTGTTGGTTTTCTAGCTTCTTGTCTGATTTTCTGAAGTAAATTTTGATAACTGAAATTTCAAGTGTGAATTATGAAGTGTGAAATGTGAAGCGTGAAGAATGAAGTGTGAAGTTTCCACTTACATATGTGAAATAAGAAGTGCGAAGTGCGAAGTATGAATGTCCCTCCAGGGCTTCCGTATTTCAGAGATAATACTTTCAGAAATAATAATTTCAGATATAGTAATTTCATAGATAATAACACGGGTCCGGGTCCGCACTTTACCATATGCCACCAAAACATAGGGGCTATAACGGAGTTCGTAATGCATGCGAATCGATCTAAAGGAGACGAGGCAAAGACTTGATGTCATTGCATAATAAAAAATTAATACCTCTGAAATTATTATCTCTGAAATTTTAAAGTGTTAAAGTGTCTCTAGAGGGCCTCTATTTCACGCTTGCAATTTGCTTAACTAGTATTTCTTATTGATCTTAACGTAACAGGACCGATATGGCGAAGGTTACTTCGTACCCGCGATGGATGACTCACAGGATTACAAACTCATTTCGGGCACGGAAAAAGACGGTAAAACAACGATGAAATTTAGCAGAAAGATTGACACTTGTGACAGTCAAGATTATAAATTTGAGGTACTTTATGAATTGTTTTTGTAGTGGTTGGTGATAGCGATATATATTTATTTTCGTATGCGTAGCCTAATTTTATGTTTGTTCAGTGTTGACTGTATGTCAATGTTGTGTTTTGCTACAGGTGCAGTTCCCTTTTCCTATAGATGTGCAGTTGTATATTTTTCTATTGATACAAAGGGCTTTYTCTTTTCTTAGGGTGGAACGACTAGAGTGATTTTTGCGTATCACGACGAAGATCCCACATCTGACACAAACATGAAGAAGCATTCCTACAGAGGTTCACGAAGCCTTCTCCTGCTAAACTTTGTGAAAACATCGAAACCTGATCCATCCTGGAAAAAACTAGATCTACTAATGAGCAATGTAAGTCAACGTTCATTGAATGCTTATACAGTATTTAATTTAAATTTTACGAAAGGTTTACAACTACTATTACAAGTTTTACGTATGGTATTTCCGGCAATACATCTATTGACGTGAATGTATTTTTTGTTACTTTAAGATGACAATTCCAAAACATCACACCAGTTACATGTGCAGACCCTTCAGGCTTCCCGATTTTGGAGGAAAGAAACACATTGTGAGGGTAAGTTTGATAGAGTATATAGACTGCTATTTTTGATGTGGACAACCAACAATTTATTGTAAATAAACTGTGCGAAACAATTCATTTTCGTGTATATGAGAATATATAGACTATATATTTGTACTACGGAAATAATGTATCTAATCAGCTGATCTGCGCAGTACATCAAGCAACTTATGCAGCTGCTAATTATAAGACTGAGTCTTGAACGGGATTTTGAAATCTTGAAATTTATTTTTAGTTTGAGCCCGTTGTCCAACCAGGCAACGAAGGCTTCCTTCATCATTTCATCATCAACGAATGCAAAGGAAAAGTTCCTGATCATCTGCTTAACTACACTGGAAGCTGTGTCGACTATGCCAATATGCCCGCAGAGATAATGAATTGTAAATTAGGGGACATCATGTATGCCTGGGGTGTTGGTGCTGGGGTAAGATTTATTATATCTTTGTTCTATAATTTAGGATATTGGTTTCCAGCCATGCCAGATATATAGACTCGTTGGTTCTCATTCCCACTATACTATATCTTGTACTGACGATTCTTTCATTTCTTCAGCCGTTTGTGTATCCTGAACACGTTGGGTACCCTGTGGGAACGAACTACAGTGGCTCGGTAATAATCGTGGAAATTCATTACGACAATCCTAAAAACATAGAAGGTAAAATATCATGCTAAATATGTCAGAAATAATTCCCCTAACATCGACTTCCACGAGGGCTAGGAAGATCCAGGGGTATTATGGGATAATTCAGAGACATATTATTTACCAAAGGGGTGAACGCAAAGACGGTTAATACTCTATAGAGGATTCGTTCTGTACCTCTTTTTCTAACTAGTTATGGAGTTATTTTAACTCCTTGAAATTAACAGTTGCTATCAATAGATGTTATTTCCGGTAACAGCTGCTTTTGTAATGGCTTGTAGAATCTTGGAGGTTGTTTTGATCTCTTGTTTTCTGGTTTCAAGTCGTAGAAATAGTCAAATACAATAGTTTGAGGACCTATTTTGGCATGTTTTGACTTAACATCCGCTAGTTGCCCACCAGTCAACCGCTTGTTAGTCAGTTCCAAAAAGTCACGTGATTGATAGTAAGTAATTTTATATATCAATATTGTGAATGTTTGTTGTAGGACGGCTCGACAGCTCCGGAGTAAGGTTCTACTACACGTCTGATCTGCGCACATACGATGCTGGTTCTTTGAATGTGGGGGCTGATGTTACATCATGGATGGTCATACCACCCAACCAGGATAACTGGATATCTACTGGATACTGTAGAAAGGAATGCACCCAAAAGGTAGATTGTCGTTGTAGGGGGAGAGGAGGGGAGTGGAGGATCACTGGATCACTACAGGATACTGTAGAAAAGAATGCACTCAAGAGGTAGATTGTCGTTATACATAGAGGGAAATGAGGGAAAACATGGATACTTTTATCTTTTATAGTCTGGGGAGAGAGAGAGAGATGTTAATGTATCTCTGCATTGCATTAAGAAATCATTTTGAATAGACTAACAAGAGTGTTTTGTCTAATTCTGTTCATTTCTATTGAAAAGGCCCTAGAAAGCAGTCCCCTTCCAGGGAAAGGAATCAAAATCATTGCTTCTTTTTTACACTCACATTTAGCAGGTAAGAGCTAGGTTTAACAGAGGATCACTTTGTTGGGGGGGGGGGGGGTGAAGGGCGTGAAAATACAGATACGTGATAGACTATGACATTGGGATCTATGGCTTGTTACAAAGACCCCATAGCCGCTGTGTACCAGTGTTGGATTTCTAACCAAAATATGTGGCTAAGAATGTTTATTGGTTTTCTCCTGTGCTTTGAGGGTTTGTCTCTTGGTTCTCTGGTTTCTCCCCTCCGCACATAACGGCCACTTCTGAATCTCGCTGTCGTAGCAATGAGCCTCTGGCTTGGAATACTGTGTAGTGAACAAACCACTCTTGCAGGGCAGATAGCCCGTTAGACGTCAAAGAAAACTATAAGTGCAGAGTGTTTAATTTTCGACATGTTTTTCTTAATTCTAATAAAAATAAATGATATTTTTCTATTCGTTCGTTTCAACGCAGGTCGTGCCATCTGGACCCGACATGTCAGGGACGGTGTTCAGCTACCAGATATTGCAAGAGATAACAACTATGATTTTAATTTTCAAGTACGGTAGTTTTCTACTTTATTTCGTCGTTGGTTTTCCCTTCCGTTTTTCTTTCTTTTATTTAGTCCTCTATTCATTCCACTTTTCATCATTTTTTTTGTATTTCCCAGGAGATGCAAATCCATCCTAAAGAGGCTCACTTCAAACCCGTAAGAAGCTTAGTTAATAAGTTGCCTTTCAAGCTGATGTCTCGATCATTTGATCTGATGTTATTTTTATTTCAATACCAGGGCGACGAGATGATTCAACAGTGCAAGTACAATACCAAGGGTCGTGCCAATACAACATTCGTGAGTTTAAATGACCTTATCTCTCGGTCCTGTTAATCAGTGACGTATCTTGCTTTGGCACGCTCTCTCCAGTCCTCTCGCGAACCTTTGTACTGGATCATAATAATATGATACCTATAACCAGTATTATTTGAACATTCCCTATGTGCATTTAATCTTTTTTGGTTTCTTTTCAGGGAGGAATTAGTACATCAGAGGAAATGTGCCTAAACATTATCACGTATTATCCACGGCTAAGAGGACTGGGTTCGAGCTGCACCAGTAGCAGCATGCCAGCAGCCTACAAGTTTCTTGAAAAACACTTCCCGTAAGTGGTTGGTTCCATCCATCCATCCATCCATCCATCCATCCATCCATCCATCCATCCATCCATCCATCCATCCATCCAT